ACCCACCCACCCCGCCACCCATTTGCCACTTTCCCCTCCCCTGACTCCAGCCTTCCCTTCCCCCTCCACAGCCCCTGCATCCTCTACATGCTCCCCCTTGACATCCTTACACCTCTCCCCCCTCCCTCGCCGACTCCTGCTTCTGCCCCCCCCACCTCCAACGGGGATCAAAATAATCGTCGTCAATCTTTCCTGCATTCTCCCCCCTCTAACCCCAGAAAAGGTTATTCCGAGGGCTGTGGGACCCATGTGTAATAATGGAGACATGGGTCAGGAGGCTGCAGTGGGTAGGGGGAAGAGGATAAATCTCGCCCTCCTCCCAAGTTTCCCTAGAAGTACTTGGGAATGCAGAGCAACACAGTTTTACAGACACACACACACACACACCCCCGACCAAAAACGAATGGAAATGTTTCAGGTTTGGGACACAAAGTTGGTGTCGGCACACTGATAAAGCCCAGGCGCCAACTTTTTGGAGGTTTCTAAACAGAGGCTGGAGCTGCGGTGTCTCAAGTGGTTAAGACGCTGAACTGCAGGCTGTGGAAGGTCAGCAGTTCAGCAGTTCGAGACCCGGGTGCCGCATGAGGGAGTGAGCTCCCGTCTCTCGTTCCAGCTCCTGCCAACCTAGCAGTTCAAAAGCAAGACATTGCAAGTAGATAAATAGGTACCACTTCGGTTGGAAGGGAACAGTGTTCTGTGTGCCTTGGTGTTTAGACATGCCGGCCACATGACCACAGAAACGTCTTCGGACAGCGCTGGCTCTTCGGCTTTGAAACGGAGATGAGCACCGCAACCCTAGAGTCCAGATTCGGCTGGCTTTCGAGCAAGGGAACCTTTACCTTTACCTTTAAACAGAGGCTAAATGGCCATCTGACAGCAATGCTGATTCCGTGAACGATGGCAGATCGTGAGAGGGCGGACAGGGAGGGGTGAGCCAATGCTTGGCTCTCCGGGCCCTTTCTTACATGCCCAGGGAAATGCCAGTTGCCACTTTGGGGTCAGGAAGGAACTTTCCTCCAGGCCAGACCAGCCCAGGGATCCTGGAGGTTTTTGCCTTCCTTTGGGCATCAAGTGTATGGGGGGGGGGGTCACTGAGGGAGCAGGGAGGTAGTTGTGAATTTCCTGCATTGTGCAGGGGGTGGGACTAGATGACCCTTGAGGTACCCCTTCCAGGGTTAAAGTTTTTCATATTCTGGGAAGAAAGAACAGAGCTGTTTCTGTCCCATTCTAGAGAGCAGAGACACCCCACATTGGCAGGTAACACCCTCACCTTTAGTTGGGCTCCGGCACCGACATAGCTATATGCAGACAAATCCTTATGAAGATGTAAAGACCGCAGGAGCTGCTCAGAACCTCCTTGGAGTAGCTGAGGAAACAAAGCCGGAAAGTCAATTATCCAATTAAATCCCTTCTTTTCTTGTGTGTCTGTATAGCACTTGGCTATGTGAGCAGGAGTCAGTGCTCTAGTATTTCCTCTCCCCATACGATCTTCCAAACAGCACCACCATTAAGGAGGTGAATCCCCACCCCCTTAAAGCCCCTAAAGCAGGGGTGTCAAACATGAAGCCCGAGGGCTGGATCAGGCCCCCGGAGGACTTCTATCAGGCCCACAGTGGAACTGGCTGTCTTCTGCTTCTACTTCCAGTTCTGCTGCTGCTGCGTCATCGTAGGTTTGCAGCTTACAGATACACACCCGAACAGCATACTCAGGATTGCAACAGCACAGACATTTTGACGCGACAATTCAGAGCAAGAGGTGTCAGTTATCAGACACTGTTTAAATAAACAAAATATGGCAAGAGTGCTAATGTTTTAAGCATGTTTTTAAGTTAAAAAAAAACCCTTTGTGTTTGTGTCTTTTATTAAGTTTATATCTCCGCTGCCTGGCATGACATTTTATGACACACACGTGGCCCGGCCCAACAAGGTCTCATTCATGTCAGGTCCAGCCCTCATAACAAATGAGTTCGACACCCCTGCCCTAAAGCGTCCTCTCCTCCCACAGAACATCTGAGATGGCTCATGATGAGAGGCGTGTTTTCCTCTTAGATCTACATGTTGGGTTTCACTTCACATGCTTGTGTGTGCGTGAGAGAGAGAGTTTGTGCGAGAGAGAGAGAGAGAGAGCGAGAGAGAGAGAGAGAGGTGTCGCTAAGTCACTTTTGACTTATGGTGACCCTATGAATTAATGTCCTCCAAAACATCCTCTCATGAACAGGTCTTGCAAACTGAGGGCCTTTGTGGCTTCCTTGGTTGAGTCCACCCATCTCCTATATACAGAGGATGGAGCAGGGTTGTTTTCTGTTGCCCCAGAAGGTCAGACCAGAACCCACGGGTTGAAATTAAATCAGAAGAGTTTTTGGCTAAACGTTAGGAAGAACTTCCTGACAGTGGTTCCTCAGTGGAACAGGCTTCCTCGGGAGGTGGTGGGCTCTCCTTCTCTGGAGGTTTTCAAGCAGAGGCTAGGTGGCCATTTGACAGCCATGCTGATTCTGTGAACTGAGGCAGATCACAGGAGGGAGGGCAGGAAGGTCTGCCTCAGGGCTTAGTTCCTGTGGCCCTTTCTTACACACCCAGGGACATGCTGATGGCCACTTTGGGGTCAGGAAGCCATTGTTCTCCAGGCCGGTTTGGCCGGGAATCCTGGAGGTTTTTTGTCATCTTCTGTGCACGGAACAGGGGTCAATGGGTGTGAAGTGGGGATTTCCGGCGTTGTGGTGGCACAGGGGATTTATCCTCTGTTTAAACATCTGAGCTGAACAGGACTGCTGTCAGTTCGAGCCCCGCACTGGTGTGAGCTACCAGCCTTGCCCCCAGCTCGCTGTCCACCCAGCGGTTTGAAAGCTTCGGTGAGTAGATAAAATGGGTACCACTCCTTAGAGAGGGTGGGCACACTTAACCCCCCCTGGTGGGAAGTGTTAGCTGACAAGCGGAAGGTCCGCGTGTAAGATCAAAAGCCGAGAGAGATCTATGCAGCATCAAAGAAAAAGCCTGCAATGGGCCATTCCGGCCAGACGGCGGCAGTGGTGCGCTGCGACTGAGAAAAATGCTGGCGACATCAAGCGACGCCGACTAAAGAATGCTGCCGGAACACGTCTGATGCTTACAGCTGACCAAACTCCCTGTCGACTGCGAAGTGTGTGTGATTAAAAATGATATATGTTGTCCTCCCTTACCCCCATCATTGTTAGTCCCGTGTCAACACATGAGTAACTGTAAATCGCTCAGAGCCGGCAGCTCTGCAAGGATTGAGCGATCGATAAATTGAAAGATTATCATTATTATTATTGTGCAGGAGGTTGGACTAGATGACCCTGGAGGTCCCTTCCAACTCTATGAATCTATGATTCCGTTGGGTCTTCCTCTCTTTCTGCTGCGTTCCATGACTTCTCGTAATGCAACCAAAGTACCATAGCCTCAGTTTAGTCATCTTAGCTTCTAGGGAGAGTTCACATGCACATGTTCGTTATTAGGAAAAACTGCTCTCAAAATAGAAAGCCATCTTGCCCCTTCTTGTAAATATGCAGACCTTGGTCAACCTGTGTCACCAGAAATAGCTTTGCTCACCTATTCCCTTGACTAAAGATAGGTGGGGAGGAGGCAATACTCTGCACTTTCAGAGGGCAAGGAAACGCTCCTCTCGTCAGCTGACAGAATCAGCGGTGGAATCTTCTCGCCTGGAGATCCTGAATGAAAGCCTGAACAGGGATCGTTGAGCAACAAAATACCCTAACCCCGGGGGTCCCTACAGGATTCCATTCCAACTGAGCGTAGCTGCACAGGTCCTCACTTTGAGAAGGAGGAATCGGTGAAGGGTGGCCATTCATCAGACAAGTCCAGGACAGGCACCCAGTCACCATAACCACTGAGGGGCATTGAATGTAAAACACTGAAGTATATGGAAACGACTTCCATCTGTACTGCAGCTTGTCACCCACCACTCCCCCAAAGCAAGAATTAGATTGGGCTCAGGGAGGCCTGGACGGATTGCTGTGACGGATTGCACAGGGAAGCAGGTTGTTGTTGTTGTTGTTTTTAATGCTGCTTGTTTCAGAGAATCTGGGAGAGCAGGAGTTAATCTTCCCCAGGGACGGTTCTATCACTAGGCCAGCTAGTGTCTGGCCTAGGGCGCGCTGGCCCTCAGGGGTGCCAAACTGCGCCCCGCCCCCACCAACCCCCGCAACTTGCCGCCTCCGCCCTAACCGGGCACCCGCCCCTCTGGCGCCCTTAGCAACTCAGGAGTGCCCGGCGGAGGCGGCCGGGGAAGCTTTTGCCAGGGAACCCGCCGGCAGTGCGTGGGGGGCGTGGCACGCGGCCAGCCGTGGCTCTGCACTTCAGAGCTGCGCACCCCCGCGATTCTGCTCGCTCCTCCTCGCCACACCCTCTCCCACGCCGCTGGCCGCCACCCCTTGTGGCTTCTTCCCCCGGCAGAGAGGCTGCAGCGGGGGCGGGGGGGAGACGG